ATATATATATATATATATAAAGTGGTCTCACATCAGAACGTGAGGTGTATAGAACCAATTCTGTAACTGTATATGAACATCTTCCATTAGTCTACATTGTTTTACTAGTTTACCTTGAATGCTACATCTAGCAGTCTTACATTTCCTTAGTGGTCATTACATTTGATATTAAATAAATGACAATAAAACTCAGGCTTATTGTAACCAACCACAAATATAATGTACTGTTTAAAACATGTCAAATGGATGTTGGTTCCATACTTCTTGGTATAATAATTTTTTTATTGACCTGAAATACAAAGAACATTTGCTGTAAGAAATATCTAAACTATGGTTGATAACAACTATATTTAAATTAAGGGAATAATGGAACCAAACTAAGTATATGTAAATTTTATTTTTTATGTGAATTTGAATTGCCTTTTAAACAGTTTAATGTATAATCCTGCAAAAATGTGTATTTATGTTGTTTTTTAAATGATAGCATCTCTATACAACAGCAATGACATAGAAGAAAGCAACGATTAAAGCTTATCCTTTAATAAAGCCTATTAAAACTAGCATTAAGAAGATGAAATTAAATTTCACAGACAAATTTGACAAAGTATTTGCTTTATAATAGTAATTATTGTCACTGGTTACTATAGAAACAATCAACTATAAGAAACTAAGTTACATACTGATAAAAATCTTATAATCCAAGCACTTTTGAAAGGTGGACCTTTCTTCTTCAGGGGCAAATTGAAGAAGAAAGGTCCCCCTTTCAAAAGTGCTCAGGTTATAGGATTTTTATCATTTTGTATCAAGGTTTATTGAACCTGCGTATTTCTCTGACATAGGGAAACAATCAACTACAAGAAACTAGATTACATGTCGCTGCTAATTAGATTTGATTTATTTAAAAGCTCTTTCTCACAGTATAAGAATAATTTACTAAATCAAAATGACAGTTGGGTGCTATGTTCACTAACCAAGATGTTGAAATACGATTTCATCTAATTAACTATAATTTACCCTATTTTGTTTTTCTAAGTAGTATGCATGGCTGATACCTCACCTAATTGGCTGCATCAGGTCAAATAAAACATTGAGAAAATAATACTGGTAATGACATTCACATACCAGACTTTACTGACATCAAGGAGGGACTGATATTTTTACCATGCAAGATTTGGGGTGACAGTTTGGCAAATCAGACATTTTAATAAAAATTATAAATTTCCAATCAGAAGTGCACTTTCTCTGACTGTAATCATGAATATGGTTTTTATGTTACAAATATAAAATTTTACAGTTTACAGTGTAACTTGGTTTGTTAGTTAGCAAAGCAGGTGGAACTAATACAGTCTTTAAATTTGGCAAAAGAAACCTTGATTATAGAACAACTAAACTACTAATTATATATGTACATAAACATTTGTTCATAAGAATACTCAATTACAAATCAAACATAACACTAAAAGTACAAAACTAAATATACTCTTGTGTCTGGTTTCAGAGTAAGGGTGGGCACACTAAAACCTTACAAATTTAAAATATGGTCTGATTTTGGCTCTGGTGAAAAAATTCCATGGTTACTTAGGTTGGTCATTAAAGCAAGTCTGGTACAGCTATAAGAACTGGAAATATCTTAATCCATTACAAATAGCATAGGTAATGTTTGATTAAAAGAAACGAATATAATGGAGGACTGCATTACAATGTTGAAGAATCTTTGTATGAATTATATTTTCAGTTCTCATTACCACAAGTAAACTTCTACACATCAGATACATATTCTTGTCACCCTACTTTACACACAATTCTAATTTATATTGCAGGAGTAAGTGAAAATTGAAAGTCGGTAGAAGAAAAGAGGTTTCAAAGTATGAAACACACAGCAACAGATTTTTAAAACTGTACTTTTAATTAGACTGCACAATACAGTTGGGTAAACAAGGATTATACTGTTGTGATTTGTACCTCCGAGTTTGTCCAGAATATTGCAATAAAACAAATGAATACGGGAAGTATGCAAAGCCAGTGTGTTGACATAAACACTGCACTTGTATTTATACACAAAGTCAAAAATACAGACACTGTTTGCTGTCAAGTAAAAAAATAAGTCATGTTTAATACATACACACATCAAGTGCTTCAGTTAAACATACATATAGCTGTGAAACAAATACACAGTCTGCAGATAGGACAAATTTATTGCAAATTTGTTTAAAATATTAATGCTCTTTTCTAATGCCTAATTTCATTGGACCACTAGCTCCCTGTCGGGCAGCTTTTCTTGCTTGAAGTTCTTTTAGTTTTTGTTGTCGCCTTTCCTCTCTTTTTTTCCGTGCTTCTTCAGCCTTATCCTGTGTTTTCTCTGAGAATTCACAGTAATTTAGATCAGTTTTACGATAAGCAAATACATCTTCCGTAAAAAAAAAATATATGTACAGAAAACTTTGCCGATACACTACACACATGGCATTTAAAACAAGAAATAAATCAGAATTTTATCAACGTACTCCACATTCTCTTCCCTTCCCAACACTCAAAATATTTTATAGAAACTTATATTCCTTAACTTTTTTTTAATTAAGTTATAACTTAAAACTGTTCAGTCTCTAGTTTTGCTCTTGGCTTAATGGTTTCTGAAATTATGCATACCTTCTAAACAGAAACAAAGCGAAAATCCTGCATGAAATAGACCTTGTAACTCACCCATATTCTGTTCACTGAACAAACTTACTTTTCCATTCATTGTTTGACTGGACCTCCTTTCCCTTTTATATGTTGTTTAAAGAGGCCTTACTCTTCCATATTATGATCAACCAGACCTTTATCCTTTCCTAAACTGTTCAAACAGACCTTGTAACTCACCCATATTCTGTTCACTGAACAAACTTACTTTTCCATTCATTGTTTGACTGGACCTCCTTTCCCTTTTATATGTTGTTTAAAGAGGCCTTACTCTTCCATATTATGATCAACCAGACCTTTATCCTTTCCTAAACTGTTCAAATAGACCTTCTAATACTTCCATATCATGGAAAATCAGACCTCTTAACCCTTTCATGTGCATACAAATAGACTAGTGCTTTCATATAAAGTTCAACTGGACCTCTTATCCCTTTCATGTGTTGTTCAAATAGATATCCTAACTTCTACCTGCACTTCTTTGTCTTTATAAATCTACAATGCAGTTCAACAAAATTCATTTCACATTTATTAAGCATTTAGACTTAACCTTCTAACTGTACCACACTGCATTCATTTGCATTTTCTTTTCCTTCAAGTATATATACTGAGTATGATTTTCAGGACCTAAGTAAGCACGGTTTTAATATCAGTTTTATTACCTTGGAACTGATCATTCCAGTCACCCCACGTGTCATCCACTGACTTTGTAACCATCTGGTTTGCTACTTTACTACCCTGGTGTTCTGATGACTTCTTTATTTCCTAAATAAATATAAGTAGCAATGATATAAATAAATCCACAACGTTTTTATCAGCCATCTCCGTACGACACAAAGATATTACAAACATGAAATACTACGATAAAAGAAAAGTGTTGATTCTTACGAACAAAAACACAAGTATAACACACCAACTTCTTTAAACTCTACATAATGTGTATGTATACGGGTGTTTATTATATGCAGAAATCGAAAAGGCCCGACTGTATACATGTTCATACATTATTTATACAACTATACAGGATATGGCAATTTTAGTTATAAACATTAAGTACGACCAAAAAAACCTGTCATAAGAAAAAAAATTCTGAATTGTTTTATCCTTGAATTTCTTAATTTTTTTCTGCGATTAACATCAAAAATTAAGATTTTTACACACAAATAAAACCGTGATAAATAACAGAAAAATTAAATGATACAATCACTTCAAACTGCAAAAGTTCACACTATACTTTTGAATGTGCAGACCTATCAATCCAGATATTTCCAATTGATACTCTAAAGCACTGCCCATTTTTCAGAGATGAATTACTTACTAAAATGATTGATAGTTCTCTGATTGGTAGATTTTACATTTTATTAGTTTAATTAATGAAACATTTGTTTTAATAAAAATGTGATTCAAAACTAATATACACTCTGTCAAATGTAGTTTTGTTTGGATTATTGAGTGTTTTAGTATTGGAGGAGAAGTTTATTTCTTTATATTTACAATAGTTTGACATATTTTAGCTGCCATATCATAGAAAGCAAACAGAAAATATGAGTTCAGTTTTATGTTATTTGAAGAATGAGGAACATTACTGTATGGGCAAAATGTGAGCTGATGCCTGAAGTGTGACTCGAAGAGCTACATCTAATTTTATGAATTCACCAAAAATATTTAAGCAGAACAAAAACCTAATGTAAGTTTTTCATTTACTTAGCTTGGTGGGCATGTTTGTCTTATATCACTTGTGTATTAAGTGTGTCCTTATGTGATTGAATACCTTTATAAAATACCATGGTGTTGCACCTACAATGTTTTTTGGACTTCATGACCTAACTTTGAGGACTGACTTCTAAAAAATCCCTAAAAAGTACAGCTATGTATATGTTACGTAAAATAGATATAAGTCCAAAAGTCATGATTATGTACAAGACACCTACAATAGCTACAGAACCCCAAAATACAAGAGACTGTAAAGAACACATATACTAGCTACAGAATTCCAAAAGATAAGATGCATACACTAGCTACAGAACCACAAGTCATGACTACGTACAAGACACATACAATAGCTATAAAACCCCAAAGACATGACTATGCATAAAACACATACACTAACTACAGAACTCCAAAACACATGAATATGCACAAGACACATACACTACCTGTAGAACCCCAAGTCATGATTATGAAAAAAACACATACAAAAGCTATATAATCCCAAAAGTCATAACTTTGTAAAAGACACATAAATAGCTATAGAACCCCAAAAGACATAACTATGTAAAA